TATATTCCGAAATGATATCAAATTATACACAATTCGTACAGCATATCATTTTTCAATAAACGTCATGACAGTAAGCTGACAGCTTCATCAGCGCGAGCTTCTTCTGAGAAACTGCTGGCAGATAGCGAACTACGTTGCTCATACGTCCTCGTTAAACTTTCGCTACATATCGCTTCTTTTCCTACCGCTTTTCTTTCTTTTATCTAACAGAACGATATCGCCAATTTTCCCTCGTCTTTTCGACGTTTCGAAAGGACGTGTACCCTAGACAAGAAAACTTTTCGGCTAATGAGAAACGAACCGCCATGCTGCCTGCAGGAAATTAACCGTTGAAAACTCGAATTTTCATCGTAAATTCATTTCGGAGATTAAGGAGATTAAGACTTAATTGAAAGCAGATGAAATATGGTGTAAAATACCCGTACGCCATAATTTACACGTTATTACGTAATAAATTAAGCAATCCCGGATACTCGTCATATTAATATCAATGATTAATATTTAATAGAATTAAATTTATAAGATTAATATTAATATTAATGCTAGGCAAATATTCAAGAAAAATTTTGTATAATATATAAATAATATAAATAATATAAATTAATCATAATTTTAACATTATTAAAATTGTGAAAGATATGTAATTGCTTTTTAAATACATTCATTTATTTAACGAATTGGATAATCAAATTTTTAAAGAATAAGGTATGTTTATGTATATAAGATTTTCTATCGAAAGTAATTATCGCTGTATAAAATGTCAAAAAAAAAAAACCGAAAGTATCCAGATATGACAAATTATGGAAAATTAAATCCTCGAAATACAAAGATAGTTTTCACTGTTTGGTAACGTGATAATTAAGCAAAGACCTCACAAGCGAATTGCACAGACGCTGAAGAAGCAGCTTATTAAACCGAACGTTTCACCATTTGCATATTTAAATTTCTATTTCCGCGGAGCTCTACTCGCGGGGCAGAGCCACAAGGTTGGATGGAAAAACCGCGGAAAGCAACCTTTTATCTCATTTCATACTTTTTATCGCCACGGAAAGCAGCATTGATCTTTTCGTTCTTCGCGTCGCAACGTCACTGAAGCATCTCCGTTTATCTTCGAATCTATGAGAATCAATCTTTAACTTGTTGAATATTACCCAAGAATTTCTTTCATTTAATATCGAGAATTACCAAATTATAAAATTTAGATTCTATAAATAGTCCACTCATCATTTGACTACATATTATTTTATAAGTAAATTTTATATCATAAATAAAATAAATATTATAAGTAAAATAATATAAGTAAAATAAATATTATAAGTAAAATTTGTATTACGTTATAAGTAAATATGTAAATAAATAAATATGTATCTATATTTTTTCATTTCTAATATCGCATATTAAAGATCAGCGGAACAAAGATTTTTAGGTACCGACAAATTGTTTATTCACTTTTTTCTATCTGCTCTCGATAATTCTAGCTTTTCTCGAAATTGGTATTTTTCGTACAATAGTTTTGTTATATATCGATTGTAAAATTAATTAAATCATTTATTATGGTTTAGGGGTCCGTTATTCGATATGCCGTATTGAGTTGTTGAAGGTCGCTTAATTAAATATTCAAAAAATCATGTATATCGTGGCGGAGATAACGAGCACTTTAAATGATTGGTCCACCGCGGCAATAGCCGCCCTTGGGTGTTCAAATTATTAATTAATAACCACCAATGCATTATACCTTTGATAATTAACACGATCGTAATCGCTAATTATTTCGACTCTATGATCGCTAATTCAATAAAATCCAGAATTAACCGTTTAAGTTGTAGGAAATATACTTTTCAATCACGACACAATAAAACGTGCGTATAAAAGATAAAAGCGATACATCCCGTTTTGTAAAAGAGCCCGTGGCAATTATTCGCGTCGCGCGCTCACTGTAAAGGAAATATTTGACAAGAAAATTGCACAAGTGCAAAGTTACGTTAAAATTAAAGACACGTGTATTTTGTATGCGTATAAACGGATACGCTACGAATACATTAAATTATTATTCTTTGTTGCCTGTTAATTGGATAAACGTTTATTTTACCATCTTTTCTTTCTGATCAATTTATCGGCTGTGTAAAACAATATGTACATTGATTCAGATGGGTCTGCATTTCATCCCCGTATTTTAATAAAGCGATAATAAGCTTTTACATATAAATAATATGCAATAATATTATACGATAATTATACGATACTTGTATATATTTGCATAATAATTTAATAAATATTTAATTATGATTTTATTTGAGCTCCAAGTATTTCCATCAATTCTAGATTGTCTCTTAATCGCTTCGCATATCAGCATGGTCGCCGATTCTCTCCGAACAATCCTCGTGGCTCTAAATCAGGGACACCTGTTTGTAAGCGAACCACACATACGGTGCACCTGCGCCGATGTGGCGGCACCTTTATCCAAGCCGTTAGTTACGGATGCGACTCGCGGTGTGTCAGTAACAACAGACACCCACGAAGTTTGCCCACCTGTCCTGATAATGTCGGTTAATATCATGTAAATTGTAATTAATATTCATGGGGTTAATTCGCTGCCGCGGTCGGCTCGACGCCGATGCCGCCGGGACAAAGTTTTAGAGAAAATTTACGGTCACCACGCGTAACATATTTCGGACGTACCGCAGGCCCTGTACGGTTACGGCCCTACTCGATTTCGCTCGAGTAAATCACGTCGATCTACGATGGATCGCACAATGGAATTATCGATCAATTGTTTGATGTAATTTGCATAATTAGAAATTCGCGTTAAAATTCTAAGACAGCAAAGGTATATAAAAAATACTCGTCATTCACATACACAAATAAGATTATGGAATATTTTATAATTTTAATAAAATAGCCGATAATAAAACGTATTGTGTTTTCGTATCGTAATATAATATTAAATTTAAATGATATTTATTTAATTTCTGCGCGAATATCATATTTCTGTGTCGACGAAATATCGAATATATGAGATAAAAGAAAAGACAGCACGTTTGATGTAATATAAATGAAATGTTCTAAATGGAAATTTTAGAACTCCCGTGTAGCATAAAGACGGCGACAAGGTAAAAGCAATATATTAATTTTCGAGAACGCGTTTTCCGATGATTAAATTTCTAAACTACGTCGCCCGCGCTCTCTTTTCGCCGTACACTATTACGGTCAACTCGCGCAACAAATTAGGCACAGCGCAATTAATTAAACAACGCGTAACACGTACCTGTAGTAAACCCGTAGTGGCCCAAGCGAGCGGACGCTCTCCGTGAAATTGTATTTGCGACGTAGACGGAAAATAATTTGCAACGTTAACAAGAATTCGGAATAGCGAGTCATTAGCATAGCTTGAGCGCACATATAACGTATACGTATACATATGTATATATATATATATATATACATGTATGCATTAGCGAGGTTTGTAGTTCTTCGTTCGAGGAAAATGTTTACATATAATAGCAGCGCGTTTAACTTGGCTGTAATTAAAATAATGGCCCGATGCAAATTACATGAAGCATTGCGTTATAATATTACTTCAGAAGCGCTCCTCGCGCGCGCACAACATCGTTGCATATTTTATTCAGAGGCATCCCCCCGCGCAGTTGCCTCGAATGAAACGTTCCCCACAAAAGCCGATTTTAATATCCTTCATGATTGTATGCGTTGCGCTTGAATAGATTCCACTTTCCTATGACGAAATGCAAAAATAAAGAGAAACGTAATTTCCGATCGTACATATGATATCGACATCTAACAGAAGCTCTATTAACAGCAAGTATTCGATATCATATCGCAACCATGAAAATCGATGATATTATATAGTTGGTCTTTTTCTTCTTATAATTATGCGCACGAGAAATTAATTAATTTACTATTAAAAATATGAAAATAAAGAATTATATTTTATTCAAACGTAGAATAAAAAAAAACATGGTTTTTTTTAAAGAAAAAAATAAGGGTAAAATAAGTTCTCGGAAGAGAACTCGAATATATAAGATACCATCCTTCTGAAGAAAAAACATCCGATCATTTTATATATGACAAGTTAATAAGCTAAAACTGCAAAAAAAATCTCCCTATTAGAAAATTTGATTTCATGACATATAGTTATTGCTTTTTCGTAAATAGATTCTATGTTTGTAGCACTATCGGATCTCTTCCATGTGCGGATTCTCTCTCGCAAAAAAAAAAAAAAAAAAAAAAATGAAATATCAACATAAAATCATTCGTAACATATGCAATAATGTACAGTTTTTCGCAATTCATTTCTATATATATTTATGTCAAAACTCTCATGAAGAGGAGGGGGGAGAAGAAGGGAGGAAAGATGATATTCAGTCTCGCGAGAATAAGAGAACAGGAGGATCGGATCAAGATAGATAGCTCGCGATGTCGCGATCTCCAACCTACGATATTTTATCATGACCGCGTTATGATACCACCATATCTGCAGTAAAAGAAAATAGCATGGAACATTTACGACTACTTATGATTCTCCGACGCATTACCGCGGACTATTTGCCTCGATCGGCAAAATGCCGTTGACTGTTATTCCGTCCTGATGCTCTGGGAATCAACATATCTCTCTCGTATCAGATATAACGCATCCACTAAGGATATTTCGTTATATTTTAAACACGCTATTTTCTTTCTACGTCCACTTCGCGTATATTTTTCGTTTTCTCGGATGGCAAATGTCATATTGGATGAAGAAGAATCGCGTCTCTATACGTAATAAACCGCGTGTCTTCAGGATGTGTTCTTTAGTTTGCAGTAAAAATTTTTACAGTAATATTCCACTGTTATTCTTCATCATAAACATGAGATATCATTATAATGAAACATAGAGTTGAGCTACTATTTTTTTTTTTTAAATAATTAATAATATTATATAAATACAAGCAAGCAATTAAGTTGAACGAACTATTGCAAGACAAAATTATGTGAATAGAACTCACCACTGGTCACGTGGATCGGGCAAGGATCTATGCACGGAGATGAGATCACTGGCATACTGATTAAATGCGTTATTGAGCCAGCCATCGTCCACCAGCTTCTTGGTCTGTGTAGACATGTTGGTCGGCAGGATCACGGGCCTGCCCATCTCACCGGGTGCAACAGCATCCGGATCCCGTGGTACAGCCAGTACTCCACCACCTATGAGATCTAGATTCATTAAAGAGATCATTAATGAGTGACCAGAATATTAGCGAATAAATTGATTATAGTGAAACAGCGTAACTCGTTTCCATCCTCGAGTTTGTTTTCAAATTAGCTAAAATTAAGATTAATAAATGTTTTTATGTATACAAATAATTTTAATTATTAAAATGTTACAATTTATATATTGCTATTATTATAGCTGGATAAAATATTTTTATTTAAATTTATATTGAGTCTCAAAATACACATATACAATATTCATCGTTATCCAAAGGAACGTTTAACAATAAATACATTTATCTTTCACTTCCTCTGGTTTAATAAATAAGCTCTCGTTTTAAAATATTCTTTTCTTTTCTATTTTATTCTATTGTCACTCAATCTATTCTTTCAGCAAGCTTAGAATTAAGTAAATTAAAATTGACTGTTTCTCCAATTAAACAATAATAGAAAAAATTAACATGGTGATGTACCAAATTAATTTATTATCCTATTAAATAAAAAATCTTATTACGTTTAAAGATTAAAAACTTTTATAAATACAGGGTACGTGGCAAAAAAAAATTCAGATACTTTCCTAATTGAAATTAGAATCCCGTTACTAAATTAAGAAAAATATTAAAAATATTATGCGTTCCATTGCACCGATGAAATATAATAAAAAGATAAATGGAAAGATATAGTGAGTCATGCCAAACTTGTGGTTCCGTTCATATTTTATCCGATTGCATTCCCGTTTAGTTTCAACTAATCTCGTTCCGCTTCTCGCTTCGCCCAAGGCGGAGAGTGCTTAACGTCAACGTAAGAAGGAACGAGTCGTCGGCGACGTCGGCGTCGCGAGGCCGGAGAGAAAAAGGGAATCGGAAATTGAATTTTCAGCACATCCGGCCGGGACATATCGTGCCGAGGTATACACGCCTTCTAAGAGCTTTCTCGCATAAACTCCGGTTTTATTCGCCGGCGCCATATTGCCGCAGCATAGCGTAAACTAAAGCCGGAGGTAAGTACGCGATATGGTCGGCTGGTTGGTTGGCGAGCTCACGATCCGCTAAAGTCGCTCGCTCGCTTGTCCCGAAAATAATTTTATCCCGGTCGACAAAGTTGGGCCCCGGTGTGTACGATGCGGCAATAAAGAGAACGACAAATTGCTTTAGTGCCGCGACCCGGCCCGCCAGTGTATCACGGCCGCCGCACCAGCCCAGTTGTAGCTACGCCGAGCACGAGATTTTCTCGGGAAAACTGCCGCCGCAGCCTCTTTTTCGCCGCGCGAGATGAGCCCGTTCTCGTTCATTTTCAACGCCTCCCCCATTCGAGCGCGCCGAGGCATTTAAATTCATTAACACGTCGTTCTGCGCGCGCGCGAGTACGTGAAGTTCCTTGGAAAAGCGAAATCATAAGAGGCATCATACCAGCGAGACGTCTAGGTTCATCACTCAAGAGATTCTCGCTCACAGACAAGCAAGTCTTCCTAATATATCGCGTTGCTCGCTAGCGTGAAACACCGACAATATCGCCGGGATGATCCATGTACTATGAGAGCCCTATTCGTACTTCGCGTCTGGCAGTAAGGCGGGATGAACTATCAAGGGTTCCTTATTGCGCCCGTGGCGGCGCCGGGAGAGAACGAACTTTCGTCTTTGTGGATTCTCCACGGATACAGTCGCATTCTCGCTCTATATTCTTCCTCTATATATATGTGTGTGTGTGTGTGTGATTTGCTCTTATTACTTTTCTACTTATATGATCAACACGTACACGCGAGAAATATAAACTTTATATATAAGTATCTTAAACTAAAAAGATTTTAAAAGCAAGTGTACAAAAATTTGAGTTTTTCTAGAAAATAAATTATTTTTAAATCGACGTATATCTTTATTTCAAATACTTATTAATTTAAATTGTCTTCATAAATAAAAGTAAAATTCTCAACAATATTATAAAGTAATATTAGAAAAAGTAAAGTTTGTGTACGTTGTATTTGTTGTAAAACAGACGAAAAAGTGTTTGTTTACATTCACGGGATAGATACACGATGATTGATATTTTGTCAATAATATGTTTCATCTATTTTTCGCAGTTTGTTAACAGCTTTCAACATGCAACTACACGAATTTGTAAGTCTTGCCTTGAGAAATATTATTTATTAAATGCGTGGACAGGGAGGGGGGCTCCGCTCCTGCACCCCCGTTCCGAAAAAAATGTAACCTAACCCAATCCAACTTTGCTTTTAAAATTGAAAATAGATTTGGGTTAGATTAGAATTTTTTCGGGGGTGGGGGTGCAGGGGGAAGAACAGAGCCCCTCCTCCGCTCATGCCTAAATGTCAGTTTTTTTCAATGAAAAAATTAACTATTCACAATACATATACTTTAATGTCATACTTCAATTTGTTATATCTTCTAAACCAATGCCGTCCCCCACTTATTTCTTGCGGAGAATTACTCAGAAGAATCTCTCCTACAACATATTTAAGTAGCGATAAAACCGGAAATGTGTTACCTTTTATGCAGTTTTACCAATTATATAAATGTGTAATAAAATAATTAAATATTTTGAAAATAGTTCTTACGCCGAAAATAGTTCTTCCTCTATAGATAAAGTTATTGAAATAGCTAGAATTTTGTATCCATTTGAAATCCTGCATTAATAGCGTGTGCTTAATTATAAAATCGTCTAATATTATGAGTAGATACGAATCTGTGATGGTTGATACTTAAAAAACCATCTCGAAATGTCGAACACGTTGAGCCACAGGTGGCTCGCGAACTAACTTAACATTCTCGGTATGATTCATGCACAGACCATACATTCCGCAAGGAACATCTATCAGCTTATTAAGACCTAACTCGCACCTAATCCCCGTGGGGTGTCAGCCTATTAAGCCGTTTCCTAACAGACCTGATTCATGTGACCACTCACAGTATATCTACGTTACATTGACAAAAGATAAAATAAAGCTATTATATATCACATATTCAATCTATCTATGTAAAAAAAGAAACAAAAACGACGAGTCTCCTATGCTAAATTTAATCATGCCAAAATAATTTTTATGCAAAAATATTGTTGTACCGAAAAAGAATTGAATATTTTATATGTTCTTTGGTTAAATTAACGGTATTAAAAGGGCACTTGAATTTCTTATTTTTATATATATAATTAAGGTGTCTATACTCACACAAATCTTGTAAAAAAATTCCCTGAAAAATCTCTTATTTTCCAGGTATTTTTGTTCAAAATTCCAAGTAAAGAGAATATTTTAAAGATCTTTTACTGCAACTTCCTAAAAAAGATTTTTTATTGTATGCGTTTTCTAATATTTTTCACTCATATGAAGGAAAAACACAGAGCCATTTAAGTTTCAAATGCAAGATTTACAAATGTACTGAAAAAAAAAGAACTGAATAGCTTTCGTAAAATAAATATTTTTCACTTGCAAAAATTTTTATTTTTTTATCACTAAAAATTGCAATAAAGAATATGTATTGTATATTTAATATTTTGCATTAAATATATTTATAATCAGATATATATAAATATTGTATATATATTCGCATATATTTTAACCACATAATTCACAACTTGTCTTGTCGACTACTTACGATATAAAAGCAAAATTATCAAAGAGAGAATTTTTGTAAAAATTCCCCTAGTCTCAATAAAATTCCCTGAGAATTCCAGGTTTTCCAGGTTTTTCCAAAGAGTAGACACTCTGTTTTAACGATTCCCATAGACTCGAGAAAAATTAACTTTACCGAGAAATTGGACAAATGAAAAAAAAAAAAAAGGGGAAAAGAACACTGGTGTTTAAATTACCTTGCTCTGGGCCGGCCTGATTGATCTTCACCTTGTTGCTGAATACGTTGCCGGTCGTCTCTTTTCTAAACGGCGCCGCGGGCGGCACAAAGCCGTTCGCCGCTTGCTGCGGCGGCATCGCGACGCCCGACGGCGCCAATCCCTGAACGGCGGCCGCCCGATCCTCGGTGTAGAGCAGGAAACAGACGGTCACCCACACGGCGGTCGCCAGCACCGCCACCTTCAGCCACAACGACCTTCTCCTGGGAAAGCCCATCTCCTATCGCCGTCTCCTCGATTATTCCTTTGTACGCCCGCTGCGATTATCGACACCTTCGTCCTGCGCCTTCCCACCCGCGCGCGCGCGCGCGCTGCGATTATCGTGCTTCTCGTGCGGCCTCGAAATGTCGTGTTACCTCAGCAACATCCTCTCGTCTCCCCTTTACGACCTTCCTCCGACCGACTCCGAATGACGTCGAAAGGTCCAGATCAGTTCCTCCTTTCTACCCGATCGAGGACGCTAATTAAACGTCTGAGTAGAGAAAGGAGATCGACGCAGGAAACGGCGCTTCCCTTTCACGAGTAATCGCGCCAGAAATTTCCACAGCGAGAATACGTTTCCTCTTCTCTTCGACGCGAACAATATCTTATACTATATAAGTTCAGACGACTCACTGACGTGTAACATCTTGTAACTTTCCGTAATAGTGTACGCGTCCCATCGTTCGTTTTGATAAAATTATTCTCTAAAAGTTGATCTCCGTAACGATGTCCCACACGAGAGAAATGTGATAAAATATACCGATATAGATTATGTTTATTTAATTTTGCAGTAAATATAGCGTTGCAAACGTTTACCGAATTTTGACTGATACGTTTGGCAATCGATATGTGTCACGTTTATTTTTGCCGTTGCTCTAAACACAGAACGTCGTAAAATCTTGTACAATATTAATACGGGTTACAGCGTCCGTAGACTGGATATGATTACAGTCTTCTCATTAACAATCCACATATGTATCGTTGGGATATGTATATTTTCAGGTTGAATGTTTTTCATCACCGCATTCTCATGTCTGTAAATTATAAAATGGGGAAAATCGATATTAATAAGAGAAATGTGTATATTCGAATAATATATAATATATAATAAAATAC